GGCGGCGGCGGCGGCAGGACCAGCATGCACCACCGGAACGACTCCCAGCGGCTGGGGAAGGCTGGCTGTCCGCCAGAGCCGTCGTTGCAAATGGCAAATACTAATTTCCTCTCCACCTTATCCCCCGAACACTGCAGACCTTTGGCGGGGGAATGCATGAACAAGCTCAAATGCGGCGCTGCTGAAGCAGAGATAATGAATCTCCCCGAGCGGGTGGGGACTTTTTCCGCTATCCCGGCTTTAGGGGGCATCTCATTACCTCCAGGGGTCATCGTCATGACAGCCCTTCACTCCCCCGCAGCAGCCTCAGCAGCCGTCACAGACAGTGCGTTTCAAATTGCCAATCTGGCAGACTGCCCGCAGAATCATTCCTCCTCCTCCTCGTCCTCCTCGGGGGGAGGTGGCGGAGCCAACCCGGCCAAGAAGAAGAGGAAAAGGTGTGGGGTCTGCGTGCCCTGCAAGAGGCTCATCAACTGTGGCGTCTGCAGCAGTTGCAGGAACCGCAAAACGGGACACCAGATCTGCAAATTTAGAAAATGTGAAGAGCTAAAGAAAAAACCTGGCACTTCGCTAGAGGTCAGAGGAGATGATTTCTTGTTTCCCAGTCTTGCCCCCTCCCTCCTCACCCCCTTCTCCTCTCCCCCACAGGGTTTCTTGTCTGGTTTCAAGACGCAGCACGCCCTATTCTGAAGCTTCTTGCAGGTTGTAACATACTGTCATAGGTGGTTTGCAGAGGGCATGGCCTCTACACCACCCTCCCAGCTGCACCTCAACTGGAACCACCTTTCTGCTAGAGGGTGCCCCTCCTTTCTTATCTCTGGAAAAAAAGCAATTGGTCTAAGAATCCGAAGTTTTACATTTGAGTATGGTTAATATTTTTCCCTTGCTGGTTTAAACTGTGCTCTCAGGAAAACCCACAACGAATAGCTCAGCTCCCAAAATTGAACATATCCATCATAAATATATATACAGCTAAAAAAAAAAAGACTCACCAGAGACCCAGTTCTAACACTACACATGTGGTACACAACCTACATTATACACATACATGTGTGCATATACCATCTATCATACATATGTGTGTGTGCTGCAATGCCTGGACTCAAGGGTTGTTGGTTGTTTTTTTTTTTTTTAATTCTCTTCTAGAATAATTTTCTCCTTAGCACGATAGAATGTTTTTGTTTATTTTTTGCCTTCTTGATTTTTTTTGAGCAATCATAAATCTTATAGAGAGCTGATAGTCACCAGCTATTTTCGAGATGTTACTTTGAGTAAAGCAGAAGTTATTTACTATTGTGTCTAATAGATGTTTGCTTTTTCAAATATTTTATGTAGTTCCGGAAAAACGCTGTTGTTTTTCTTTTTTGTCATTGGTGTTATTGTTGTTTTATTTTTTACATTTCCCTGGGGTTCTATATCTAACAAAGTATCTAGATACATTGTGGTTACAAAATTACTCTAAACATAGAGAGGTTTTGGTTGATACCATATATAGTAAAAAATAGTTTACTTTTCCTTTAGGTTCTTAAAACAGACATTAATCGCTAAAGTAATACTAAAGTTAGGCTTTTAATTGCATTCCAAAGTAAGATGGATGTATGTGATGAACATTTTGTTTGATGTCCTAATTCAAACACAAAACGAAGAATTGCAGAGTTACAGGTATTTTGTTTTGGTGCCATATTAAGAAGGAAATATGGACAGGCAGCCACAGTCTATGATGAAATAGAGTAAGGTTAGCTCCTTGTGCATGTGTGAGACTGGGTGATCCATTTAGTGTTTCAGAATGCTCTGTGAACTAGAGTGCAGGTCGAGAGGGACTGTCACATCTGTCCTAAGGAATACTTGCACATTCTTTTAAAAATTAGGAACACGGTATAGGGATGTTCTCTTTGAATCATTGAGGATTGGAGTTCCAATGAATAAAGGAAAAAAAGTGAAAGATCTTGTTTCTGGTTTGACTACGAAGAAGATGGGTCCTCTTGCTTTGCTGGGTACAAACCAAGGCCAAGGGGCTGGGATTCCCAGAGTCAGAGAGGGCACCATGGCCTGCAGTTGCACCACAATACTGTGTGTATTTCCCTCTAGGAAGAAACCACGTCTTCTGGGGAACTTTAATTTCACCACAGGGTGTTTAATTGTTCGTCCTCTGGGTAACTCTGGTCAAGCAGAGATAACAGCAGCCACAGTCAGGATCATGCATTTTCTCAGATGGCAAACATTGACTCTTGAACTCTTTTCTGGGGGAGTTAATGTACAATGACTTCCCTGGGTCTGTAAGACCATGAAAAATTAAAATTGATCTTACATTGTGGTTTCCTGCAAATGCCAGTGACTAGGACTGTATGGGTTCTGCTTTCTCTTTGACAAGTAGTATGTAGTGCTATAGTTCTGGCATTGCTAGGCCTCAGCCTTAGCTGCAGTCACTGTACCACCCTGTACACCACTGTAGGGAATGTAGTGGAGAGGACCACCCAATAATAATTCTGACTTCTTAGTTAGTAACCATTCCAGAGGAGTTTGCTATGAGAACTAATAGGCTTTCAGTCAAGTGTCTATGTTGGTGTGCTCATCTAAACAGGCTTCATATATTCATTCTCTCTCTCTCTCTCTCTCTTCCTACAAACTTTAAATTTTCCCCATAATTCCACACATCATAGAATCATTTTTACCTTTGAAAATGAGCATGCACAGAAGTTGAGTGGTCCCTCAGAAGGTAGGAAGAGGTCGAGAGAGAATGCCCACTTCCCTCTACAGATGTTTTCCTGACTGAGGGTTCCTTCCTACCAGAGCTTGGACTGTGGTTCAAGGCCATGATCATTAATGGAATACTGGGCAGAACGAAAGAAAAAAGTTTTCAAAGCAGCCTGAGTGTTTATCCAAATCATGAATAAGGTAACACGGTGTGATTGCCTCAAACCCACAGGCAACCTCAAGCTCCAGTTGGAGGAAACTTCCAGGGCTGAGGCATAAATCAGCAGAACTTCAGTGACTGAACCAAAGATGGAAAATCCCCTGCCGTACTGGTTTCCTGTCTCTAATCTGATCCATTATCATCTCAGGAGATGTTTTTGAGGAGGGATGGACTTCTGTTTGAAGTTCTGGACCTGGAACTTAGTCATAAACTTAGTAGCCAATGCTTGTGGCTTTTACTTATGAACACTTGCAAAGTTAAGATCTGTATACTGAACACAGCTCTCCAAGCCTGTGTGCTCTCCTCTTTGAGCTGTTCTTATCTCAAGACACTGAAAGCATAGTCAGGTTGCTTTCAGGCTGTGCAAAACAAGTTGAAGAAAGATTCACATGATGCTCTGGAATTTGAGCCCACATTTTCTTAAGCCCCCTTCCCTAGCCTTCCTTTAAACATGACCTGTCCCTGCTTAGTCCCATTTTAAGAGTGACTTATGTTTAGAGAACCACTGCTTGTTGATATTCAGGATGGCAGTACCCATTAGATAGTGAGTGCTGGATGTTTTGTGGCCTGCGTGTTTGCATATGTCAATGCCCGTTCATCAATCATTATATTAACAAATAGCCCCTAATTGTTGAAAGCAGTTGATACAAATGTGCTGTGCTCCTGTGGGACAAAATTTATTTTAAAAATGTATGTCCTTAATTAATATTAACTTCCTAATTGTATTTAAAATATGACCATGTAGGCGATTACTACGATATTAAGTTAATACTTTACCTTGCAAAGGTAATCCTTCAGACTGCACACAGGCAACAGTTATTTTTCTGATACCAAGATTTAACTTTCTAAAATATCCCAATCTAATGTAACTCAGGGGATAAAGTTGTCCCCTGGGCAAGCCAGGCCTCTTAGTCTCTGAACATTGTTCAGGTGACGTGATTGATCTCTGTGGGACAGCATTAGAGACCACACAGATCTGGTTTCTCTCCCATTAGTTGATTTATGGAATTACATTAGTGAAGCAGTGCCTCTGGGGGTTGCCCTGCCCCTGCTCCTCCTGCTGCCACTTTATAGAGAAGAGGTTGAAACACTGGAAAATCAGGGTCAGGGTGTTTGTTTATTTTCCTTTCTCTTTTCTCTCTCTCTCTCTCTCTCTCTCTCTCTCTCTCTCTCTCTCTCTCAAAAAAAAAAAAAAAGTGTGTTGGTGTACAAGTCCACAGTAATGTTTCTAGAAGCTAGCTTGAGATTCTAAGGGATTTGATGACAAACACCCTGATATTATTATCAAGTAAAGGTAGATAACTATTTAGAACAGTGTTCCAGAAGGGAAGAGACATACTAGATACAATTTTTAAGTTCTAAGGAGTCAACCAATGCCAGTTGTGACATTCTGGACCAAAACACTGCTGTAATTTGTGCAGAGTGATGGCACCTTCCTGCTAAGGAAATTCATTTGTAGCCCACATCTAAAGTAGGTGTGTGACTCCAGCTGAGAGACGTAGAGCAGGGGAAATCAGCAAATAACATTTCATAAAGTTTTGAAGTTAAAGTGGGTTTTTAAAATACATAGATATGCATAGATAAAATATTAACCCTTCATGTTTTAAATCGAAACGTTTTTCAATTTGTGACTTCACGTAATAATTTCAAAATGAGTTTTCAGTTTAAGAATTAAACCATGCTAGTAGGAACTATTTTTAATACAAAGATGCAATATTCATTGGCTGTAGGAGGGAAAATGAAAAAGTTTCAATGAAATGCAAATAAGATGACAGATGTTTTTGTTACATTAGAATGTAACAATCGGATATTCTATGGAGAAGATCCAGAATCGATGAATGATAGGAAAAAAGCTCAAAAAGTTCAGTTTTGATCAAAGCCACAAGACACCTTTATCATGACAGCACTGAACCACCCAGTGGACTTCTCTGCCCATCACTAGATTTCGAAAGAGTTTCAGACTGTTTTTATGTTTTGGGTACAAACGAGCTTTTTTCTGTACATAGTAAATCTGTACTACTTTCTGTCGGTTAAAAATAGTTGCTGATGAAAATAGGGTAATATTGCTTCCTAAATGAAACCAATACTCTGATCCATCTAAACAGCATATAGGATTCTAAACAGTATTTTATGTGGTAATTATAAGTAGTGAAATAAAATGGGGGAAAAAGCATTTATAGACTGTGTTATACAAAGAATGTATTTTGAAACTTAGACATCATCAAATAAAAAATAAACATTCAGAAAAACAATGAGAAAAAATTTAAATAACATTGAACTTTAGGCTTCGCCTTAGTCACAGAAAGTTATTTGATGATGAAGGGATGTTTATTAGTGAGGAAGTCGGTAAAGGTGACTTGACTTGGGAAGTTTTAATGACTTCGTTATTGAATTGCTCTTTTGTGCACCAGTCTGTTTTTATTTTGGACAGAGTGGCGGAGTTTCACACAGTCAGACTTACAGAGCGGTGTAGAACGGTTTGGGCAAGTGATTTGTGAGACTGAATGTTTAAAAAATCTGCAGAAAGGAGAGAGATGTCCGCCATGATTTCTCCGAGTGCAGCACTGTTTACCATTGGAAACTGGAGACAGGAGTTTTTGCTCTGAGCCCTGAAATCTTGTTGGGATGTTCATTTTGGATATAAAGTTAAACATTTACATAT